TCGCCTCCGAACATGAAGCCATTTTGGCGAGTGGAGCGCTCCAGGCGACACAGTATTTAAAAACTGAGCACTGAAAACTCCCTCAACTAATCAACCTCTTTCTTTCGTCTTATTTAAGTATTCCTGCATATTAACGTAATCAAATAAAACTGACCAAATTCCAAGGCAGTACTTTTTTGCGTCTGGTTACAGGGGAAAACTGTGAGTCAGGCTACTGACACCTGTCAAATAATTGATTACCAGTCTGAACTACTCTCGCTTCGCAAATTGGATAAATTAATACATAACTATTTAATGCAGGCCAGTCAATAGAGTTGCAAAAGTATTGCGGCCTAATAGCTTGGCTTTTAGTTTATTGCCCCCGCAGGGTTCCGGCCCAGAGGCCGGAACCCGAGGAGGCACCCTAATGTCCCCCGCGTAAAGAAGAAGTATCGTATTACCAGGGCGGATAAAGGTAATCCGCCCTGGTGTAGAGTATAACACGCGCGAGTTTCACACACCCTTTCAGTGTCTCTCCCCAGTTTCGTTTAACCCAACGAAAAGCTCATATATTTCACTGAAATTAACCCGCTTATACGGACACCCGATAAATACGGAGAAAGGAAACATTTTTTGTGTCCCGAGTCATTAATATATAAGTAAGTAAGTAAGTAAGTAAGTAAGTAAGTAAGAACTTTATTAAAGTGTCAATGTCGCTAGCGTACGAAGTATACTAATTGGGGACACCTAACTACAATTACATTTCTGATTGTCAATAAATATAAAATGTAATAATCAATACAAAATGAAATGTATAACCAGTTATTAGTTGTTACATAAAAAACAGTCTTTACAAGCGCTGTCAAGCAGACTTGTGAAATTAACCAGTTTAATACGCTTTTTGAAAATGTCCAAAGATTCAGACAATAGAATATATATATCGAGTTTGGGCCAAATGACAGGGCCTAGGTAGGTCAGGCTGTGTTTGCCATAAGCAACAGTCCGAAATCTAGTAATGACGAAGTCACGATTTCTAAGATGATAAAGAGAATTGGTAACGACCAATAAGTCCGCAATATAGGGAGGCGCCAGGCCATTTTTTACTTTGCACATTAAGATTGCAATGGCTTGTAGTCGCCGCGTATGAACTGTTGGTACATTCGCTCTATGCAAGAGTTCCTCGTACGTCGATTTATTGTCACAGTACACAGCGCGTAGTGCTCGTTCTTGAATTCGTTCTAGTTTTCTGGCATCAGAAGAACGACAAAAATGCGAGGCAGTTTGACAGTATGTGAGATGGGGTATAACAGCGAGTTTAACAATATGCAATTTAGCAGATGTAGGAATGAGGTTACGTAATCTTAGGTGAACGCCAGTTTGAGAGGAGGCTTTCTAAAAACATTGCTTACATGACTCGAAAATGATAGTTGATCGTCTAGGGTAACCCCTAAGAGCGTTATCTCTGGTTTTTGATCAAATACAGTGTCGTTAATAACGATGTGTAAATCCTTGTGCCAATTCCTCGGGCCCAGACTCATCACTTGATACTTAGAAAAATTTCATTGCAAAAGATTGTTGTCATACCACTCAGAGATGTTGTTTCCCTCCTCAGTTAAAATTCTTTCAGTTTCGTTGGCTGTCTTCACCACTGAAAACAGTTGGTGGTCATCCGTGTACATGAATAACCTATTTTCATCGGTGGAGAGGTGTAGGTCGTTTTGAAAGACGTTCCAGAGAAGGGGCCCGAAGGCCGATCCCTGGGGACAACCACTCGCGTTCCAATCGCTTGTTATGTTTTGTTTTTTTTTTTTGACTGATCCTAATTCTGTTTTTCCTATTGGTGAAATATGATCGCATCAGGGTTAGTGAGTTGTCAGAGAAACCGTATGCTCTCAGTTTGATGATCAGTAGGGGAGGGTACAGCAAAACGAATGCCTTTGACATGTCAGTGGACAAGACTCCGACAACGTTCAAATATATCGTCAACCCTGTTTTAGGGACAATGTTCATCCGCGCACTCAGTCTATGACTGAATATGTTACCACTGCAAAACTTACCAGAAACGGCAAATGGCCTTTCAAGGGTTCTAGACTGCAAAACAGTCCGTATTTTTGCGTATTCAAGTTCGCGCGAACAGTCAAACAAAAGGTCTGGGGCGAGGCTGAAAACGGAGAGCGAGACTGGGGAGACACGCTAAAATGAGTGGAAGTGGCGGTACGCCGACAAAGCCTGTGCCTGCTCCTCGAAAAGGGTGAAAGCCGAAAGAGCCGAACGCTTCAGATAATTGTAGAATGCGAGGCTGTTGTTTCCAAAAACAAGTCGGCAATTTTAAAGAGTGGATGGATAAAACCTGAAAATGTGATTGTTGCCCTTACTAGAAAAAGGTGAAACGTTACCAAAGTTGGCCGATCTTCTGAAAAAACGAACTTTTCGTTGTCCTAGAAGAAGGAGAATCTTTCTCCACAAAGTTTTCTCGCCGTGCGGAACAAAGGTTAGAAACTGCGCCGCAATGCTTTCACAAATTAGAGAAAAACTGAACACGTCAAGGGTGCGAACGACTTGTTGGAAACATTTGACAGCTTGTTAACAACTTAAATCAAAATTTAGCCAATGGGAATTGCCCGTGGCTGGGAGAAGCAGGTAATTCGAACAAATATAATGTATGCAAAACGTACAGTCCGTATTTTTAGCGTCTCTCCCCAGTCTCGCTCCAGACCTTTTGTTTGATTGTTCGCAAGAACTTGAATACGCAAAAATAGCCTAAATACCCTACGGGCGTGTGAGGCTTGCGCGCTTTGCGCGCGAGTGAGACTCTTACGCTACACTAAACCGATTTTGAGAAAAAACCGATTGTTTTGCACTCTACAAAGGTTCTGTCTAATAATAAATACACCTGGCTGAGTCACAAACTAAAACCGTCAGTACAAAGTGAAGTCACGGATTACACAGGTCACACAAACTGTAGTGTTTTAAGGACGAAAGGTAATTAGATAAAGGTAAAAGATAAAAGAGTGTCGGGTTTCTTCAGGGTGAACTTAATACGGTCGTAGTTCAGAAATTAAGCAGTTTCATGTTTTTTCGATATTAAGACGAAAGCAGACATTTTCACGAGAATTTCTCGTGAAAATGTCTTCTTTCATCTTTATATCGGAAAAAACATGTGGCCGTGCAAGTGAAAGAATAATGTAACGTTTTTGTTTAGAGCACGCTTAATACGGACACTCGGTTCACGGACAGTATGTCCCCTTGATGTCGTATTAAGCGGGTTCCACTGTATTTGGCTATCGGTAGGCTTTTTTTGGAAGCTCCGGTGATTGAGGGCCAATTGGCGTTTTAAGAAGTGCCACGGAAAATTTGATTGCCTCATTTACGAGATGTTGTGGAACTCAGACCCAGTGAGTAATACGCAGAGTGATTACTCTTTGTTTAACTTGCAACATAGTATTTTTCTTTTTAATGATCTCTTGTTTTTTTCTTGTATTTATACAACATGTATATGCTTTTTTCCTTTGATTTGATAGTGACGCCCGAGAACGTAACTGGGGAACTTAAGTAACAGCGTTTTGAGTGACGAAAGACAACCAGAAGTGAAGCATTTCCTCTTATGATATACCCCGACGCTACCTCAATGCACATTAGCATTTTCAAGTGTGTTTGCTGTCTTTAAGATAACGCCACGTGCAATTTTTTGTGGTTAAGACAGTTTGAAAGGTTCAGCTCGATGATGTCAGTTAATCTGGCACATCGACTCAGGTCCTGCACAAATAAATGAGGTTCCTGCGCCAAAAAAAGGTTAATTTCCTCCTTACTATACTACTACCACGCCCACCCAGCCTAAGTACGGACTTGAAGATTCAATGACGCGAAGGTAACGAGAACGTCTAAAAAACGATACGTTTAATAAGCAAAACAACAACTTTTGCTCGCGCATCACGCTTTTTTGTACATTTACCGTTTTTGCATGACTATGACGTGAAAATGCCTATTTTCGTGTTTTATGGAGAATGTAAACAAGCAACGACGAAATTTTATTTCGCTTTCTGAACTTGAATATGGTCCCTTGGAATTCAAATTCAGGAGGGTTGGCGTACATTTGAAAAAGTAATAAGTAGGAATAACCGCGATAAAGACTGAAAGAACGCAAATTCACTTTTTAAGCGACGTTCTCTTTACTGTTGGGTCGTTGGATCTTAAAGTCCCTAATATCTCTTGACCACCACCACAACGTTTCTTTTGTCTCCCCCCTGCCTTTTTGTCCAACAAACAACTATCCATTTGATAAGTGTCCACAAACCAATAGCTTTATCCGAGGGGCTCATAATCAGATACATTTTCCTGTTTACAGGTAGATGGGCCTATAACTGGGGACGGGGGGGGGGTATAAGCGGCAGTTTACTGTATGTGATTGGCTTGGATTTGAGATTTGAAATCACGGAAAATTACAAGTTAAAAGGGTTAATGGGCCTGGTATTTTTGGTTGGTTATGTCTATCGCCATGGTCACGATTATTGCTAGGGCAAGGCCGTAGGAACCATCTGAATCGAGCCTAACGTCGGAATTGTTTAGAGAAAATATTCGCGAGGGCTGTTTCTATAATCTAAAAATTCAAGAGAAAATAACGGGACGGAGAGTGAAACGGCCAGTCCAGCCCTTGGGACTGATGTGAATTTCATTAAAGGTCTTTTCACCGCACGAAAAATTGGATTTACACCAAATTTACTCAGTGCAAATTTGGTGCACAAAAGTGTAAACTAAGGTTAAATAAAGGACAAAGATGGTAAATACCGCATTTGCCCTAAAATTTACACCCCCATGTAAACTGGCCAGCAAATGCGGTATTTACCATCTTTGCTTTTATATTCCCCCTAGTTTGCACTTTTTTGCACCATATTTACTCCGAGTAAATTTGTGTAAATCCAATTTTTCGTGTAGTGTTTTAGACCAATTAAACGTCTGAATTAATGGTAAGCTGGTTTCCGGAAAGGTCCGCAAACTTTTATTCAGTGTTGTCGAGAGAGAATTTAACAGTCACCATTGCATTATTCTGCATGTTTTGCGTTGAGGCAGTCGCGCGTGGACGTGATGACGTTCCAAACATTCCATTAAAATTTGCGGACGTCCCAGGAATTAGATTCCTTAATTAAAACTTCTAAAAATAACTTAAGTGAAATTCACAGATCCCGGCCAACGCACTGAGATTCCCTCTCCCTGCCATTATCCTCTCTTGAAAAATTGTAACTTGTCTTCCAAGGAACTTTTAGAAGAGGAGATTGAATTTTTATCCAGGGGACTGAAGTTTACGCCAAAACCAAACAGGAACGTACGTAAAGTAATTAATGCCGATATCCAAAGTTTTTGTACAACTCTAGGGAAACAGAAATCCAGCTTTTCAGACACAGAAAAGCTTGGCGAAAAAGGAAAGTAACTCCTCCTAGAAACAGAAACATTACCTTTAAAAACTACGTAGACTTCCTCTCGAAACTTCTACTTGAAGAATGATACTAGAGGCTCCAATTTAATGAAAGAGGAACAAATGCACTAAATGAAATGCGAGGAGACCCAGAAATAATCACCTCTAAAGCTGACAAAGGAGGGGTATTCGTAGGTTATCAGGGCTTAGGCAGGTCGACCTAGTCACTTCTTATACTTTTCGCCGCCGAAATAAATTCTTCATCGAGCCATTAAATCCACATATGCAAATTCCAACCTAAGCAGTGATTCTTTATCTTCCTTTAAATGAAAGTGGAAAATTTTAAAACACGAGAGAAACTAATGTTAGTCATCTTTCCGATGTACCGATTCGTAGCAAGTTCTGGCAGTCTCCTTCAGTCTTGGCCAAATGCACTTCAATTTGATTTAGTCACCCCTTTTAAAATCCTGCCAAAATAAAATAAAAAGTAGAGAAGCTGTTACACAATTTGTCACGGTCGAACTAAAGGTCAATCTGACTAAAGAGCGGTTGTTTTCGGTGTCCTGATTACACTGTGAATATCATAATAAAGTAGCTGTGAAAGTACATTCTTATCTTTCAGCCTCTCTCCTTCTGAATTACTTGCCCAAATTGATTACAATGACACAATAGTTGTTTACCATCTACATAGGTAAACCGGTTGGTCCACGGTCTGGAAAAAAATTCAGGACTGGTAAATTTCGTCCCGGAATCGCGTTTACCA